GAAGGGGAACAAATGATGATCATACTTTGCCAAAACCTTGCAGGAGGTTTCAGTGGTTCCTATTGTCACATGTCATTCTGTTTGGAAATGACATTGATCACAAATATTTATAGTTGTACATCAGATTTTTCAAATGCCTCTTGTGCATCATCATTTTGGGTGGTGGGGTATATGCCATCAAAGCTTGGGGAAATTTCTCCAATTATAGATGCCTCATGTGAGCTTGATTCCAATGTTATTGATGCTTGTTTATCAGCAGCATGCAAGATTTGAAATTACACAAATTGGCTGCTGGCTGTTCATCAAAACATGGATTGTCATATCAACAATGCACTATGTAAGTTATTATTGCCCTATTTCAGTCCAGATGCATCCTGCTCATTATTATATAACACATAATACTACAATTTAAGTAATTAAATCCTCTGGAATATTACCTTTTTTCTGCATTTTGATTGATGTAATTTGGAGTAGATATGACAGAGTTACAGTATTGTCTCTCTGAATTGTTGGTATAACCTGGGTGATGACATGTCAATTATGTAAAACATACTCCTAAATTTTACATAATTGAAATGCATGAACTTCAGGGTAGATCTGGCAGAGTTACAGTATTTTCCTTTGGAATTGCTAATATGACCTGCAGTGATGACGTCACGAGGATCTCTTGTGCCTTGCAATGATGCACGAACGTTTCCCATCAATGTGATTGGGAAACGTTCGTGCGTCATCATTTTCCTTGGTGTGCCATTGCTTAGTCATCATTTTTAGCGAAAATGAAGATTTACCTGTAGTTCTGCCAATTCTGGTCCAAATGACATGTTTTTTTTTGTGGTATGCACTCCTTAATTGCAGAACTATTCTAAAATGACAATGGATGTAGACAAATACAAATAAACAGTCCACAATTCAAAAAATTCAACATTTTCAATGTATTTTTGACACTCATGATCATGTTTGTATGACCATGGTTTGAAAATATTACAAATATATTTATAGATTCTACCAAATACTTCCAAATATATATATACCCTTCATCACATGTTGTTGCTTACTCATCTCTTTGGGGCTAAAGTAAAGAATTCTCTGTAGCTCTGCGAACTCTGGTCCAAATGACATGGCTTTTATGAGCAGCACCCCTTAATTGCAGAACTTTTTTAAAATGATAATGGATGTATACAAATACAAATAAATAGATCATAATCCAAAACATTCAACATTTTCAATGTCTACTTTATGGTCATAATCATAGTTTACAGATTCTATGAAATACTTCCAAATATATACATACCCTTCATCACATGTCATTTGATTATAAACAAATACAAATAATTAGTCATACAATAAAATGTGTAAAACAATTAACTTATCATGACTATGTATTACTTATCAAAAGTATATATAGTCTATGAGGCTAGATTTATTTGCAAAAATGGTATCAACCCAAAAATAGCTAAAGAATAGTAGAGCAATCAGAAAAAGTTGGAGGATGTCCTTACCAGTAGTAATAACATTATATATTGTGTTTACAGTCCATAGTGGACTTCCAAATATGGTAATCTATGGGAAAATAGTCATAAAATAGCACAAATTTCAGAGAAAATTGGATGATATTGCTTTACTGTTAGTGATAATGTTATGCAACAGTTAGTTAATATAGTACTCAATCTACATATTACTATAAAATGAGCAAAAATTAGGAAAAACATAGAAATGTTTCTTATCATTGTGGAACCAATACTTGACATAGTGATCGCTCAGGTAGTGGGACAGTCATTGGAATGCCTAGTGGACTACAATGATCAAAGGTGTGAGGACTCACCAAGTTGGTCTAAACAGCTTAGTTGCATGCTCGGAATCATAGAATGTGACTGTTCAGCACTGTCATACTCTGATCTCCACAAACAGTCCCAGTGGAGATTGTGACAATGAAGTTTTTGATGTCTGACTGCTGATCTCTCAAAGCTTGAAGTAAAGCTATTGGTAGGGCTTGAGTATCCAAGTGATATAAGAGGTACAAGTGGTGGCAAGAAGATATCATTTCTTTATGTACACAAGGTAAATTACAGTGATTACATAAAGTGTAATGTGTGGTGATACAAAGAATGAAGAGTGGGCATATGGGTCAATCAATGGAGGCAAGTCTCAGGAGGTAGAAAGGGTAGATAGGTAGGATAGGTAGGATACTTACTAGCATGCTACACATTGATGATGATGCTAGGGTACCCTGTTTAGAGTCTAGGGCAATAATGGCCTTGGAAATGAGGACTCGTTCCTGCCATGCTTGCAATGGCCTCTTACACAAGTATATTTGTGATGAATTTCCTTTTTTGGGTTAAAATTCCCATGGTATCAGAAACACAGCCTCTCACTTAGCTCCATAAACAACAATTGTAGCCCCTTTCCTTACCTTTATAGATATATATAAATGATGTCATGCAGACCATTCCTCATTGAGAAAAACACAAAATACTGAAAAAATTGGACACTTTTTGGAAATTGTCATGCATTTTTGACCAATATCTCAAAGAGCAAGAAAGCTGGTCTCAAGATATAGTCACATTGCATGATATGACAATATTTTTACATGGTTGTCTTGATTTCCATATTTGGATATGGACCCTGAATACTGGACACAGCCCCTTCAACACTATGGCAACAGAGAAGATCACTCTTAATTTTGGGGTATTTTTTTCTGATTTTCTGGCAACTTTTAGGTGGTTTCTATATTTAGATATTGACCCTGAACCCTGAACAAAGCCTCCCCACCTTACTAAGCAATATTCTGATTTTTACATATTTTTTGCTGATTTCTTTTACCATTTTTCCTGATTTTATGGCTGCTTTTCTGTTTAAGGGAAAAGGTTCCCGCGGTGATGAAAGGTAAATGAATCAATGAATGAAAAATTTGCCTAAGTCCTCAGTTGATAAAGAATGAGTCTTACTCGTAAACTCGTAAGGACTCATAAAATATATGCGCAATTTCGATTGATCCTGATACTTTTATAGTGTCTTCATACTGACCCCAACACAGGCGTCAAGTGCAACTTCTTTCATTGGCTAGCGGGCTCTCGAACACCCTCACTATCACCCCATCTCGCCTCAACCAGTCAGCTGCCTGCCGTTGATCAACCTGTGCTCCTGACGTCTATCTCTGATGCAGCGGGTGCACCGCCAGCTTCGCAAAAGCAATCTTGCATCACCATGGGTTGCTCTTCAACCCGAATTCGCAAAGGCTGTGGCCGACGAATGTGCAAGGCACATTGTCTCGAAGCAGGTGGTTGTGCTAACCCAGCCCACAAAGCATCACAATCAACAACGGCTCCCTACACGGTCGCAGTACCGCCCCCACCAACTCCTGTCTTTCCAGTACACATGAATCCCATTGGGGTGCCGCGCTCGACCCCTGCAGGCTTTATTGAACCCAACCCACCCCAAGGTCCTCTCAATGGCGCCGCTTCTTCATCATGCGTTCCAAGGAATGCCCGTACAGAACCCGCATTTGCCTCCCACATGACTGAGCTTTACACAGCACAAATGGCTCGCGAGGAACAGATGACAGAAGATAGGCGTCAGGTTGAAGCTACAAGATGGGAGAGTAAACGGAAGGTCCAGCAAACAGCTTTCGTTTACGCACGGATGGAGGTACGTCTTTGTGAGCTTTATATCTACAAATCACTCAATGTTTTTTTCCAGGATGGTGTCACCCCAGTTCCTTTCGAGGTCCAAGAAGGCTTCGTCTGGCCTCATTTCATCCTGAACAAGGCTGTCCTTGAGTTGGCAGGTTTTGTAGATATTGCTGCCGACACACGCTTCAACATCTTCCGCTTCAACCTTGGTCACTGGACCTTGGTGAAACTCAATCACGTCGTTGAGCTCAAGGATACCCCTCACATTTTCATCAAGGCCACCACTGTCCAACGCTGCCATGATTTTGAGGTGTTTCGTGCCACTACGTCGTCATCAGCCACAAGTCCAAACATCTGCACCAACCTTGCTGGCGAACGGGCGTATGTGAGAAAGAAAACGGTCGAATTCGAACTTTCTCAAGCGTCGAGGGCTTCGTCTGTCAAGAACAAGCACAATCTATCACCTGACCACCTTTTTTCTACGCCTAAGCGGCTGCGTTACCTACCCGATGATTCTCCTACACCTACCCTGGCAAGATATTGCCCTCCCGTTTCCCGGAAGTTTGTTGGAAAGGCTGGTCTTGGCGCGACTCGTGTTGTCAAGAAATCGGCGGCTGCAAAGGAAAGAGAGTTGATAGAATCCTACGAGAGTGATTCGGGACTTGAGCTGACCGACCTTGATCTGACCAAGCCCTTTCTGCTCCGTAACTCCTCTGGAGTGGCGTCTACATCCCAATCCACCTCTTCCTCAGTTGCCCCTGCCTCAACTGTGGCTCGTTCCATCATGCCTGCTTCCACCGCCCACACGTTACATCTCGGGCCTACTATTAAACAAGAACAGCTAGATTCCATCGCTCCTTTCCTTGTCCCCAGCAAACACATTTCAAAAAAGCCAAGGTGGCCGGCCGATTTCTTCGCCACCAGTATTGCAAACTTCTTCGATGAGGTCGAAGACAGCGCGAGTGATACAAAAGTTTGTTCACTCTTCGAAGATCACTTCGGCCGATGGGTTGACTACAAGAGGTCGACCTACTATGATCACCGTCAGCGGTGGCAAGAAGCGACGCTTGAGGCCAAGCAGGCTGTGCTGTCTGCAGGTCAAACAGAAGCTGGCTGCTGGTCCAACTTAATGTCAATGACCCGAGCACCACGGGCACATATCAAGGCTGTGCGTCGGCGCAATGCTGATCAGTTCGCTATGGTCGAGACTGATTTTATAGAGATCTCGTCAAGCTCAGACGGTGACGCGTAAACACCCTCTTTTATCTACCTTTCCCTTCACTAGATTTGTATCATGTTCTTGTAATGTGTAGTTATACTATGTATAGTACCTGTATTAGATTTGTACTGCACATTTGTTTTGTTATTATAACATGTAGCTACTATTATTTCTCCGTTCCCTGTATTAACATACATAGCCCGTTTCTGTAATAAAATGACCATCCTTCTGGAGCTTATCACGGGTCATCGCATTTCGAAGTAGAATCATGGTGTCGAGGAAAAAATTGTATCGATCGACTCGCATCTCGCGAAGAATTGAGTGGAATCCCCCTAACCACACATTGGTCTGCTCGGCAATGGAAGAATTAAAATACCAACCCTTGCCATTTTCCTCTAGCAATTCAGCATAGTCAACCGGGTTGCAGTTGCTTTGACAATACTTGTCCTTGACTGAGTGCTTGCAATTGAAGTGGAATACATCCACCGTGAGTCCCATGTCATTGAAGAAGGGGTCACCTTTGACGTGCTTCGAGAGGGAGCAGTTGTTGTCGAAAAACAAATGGTTTGGCTTTTGATGGTTAATACTGAATGTACGTTTCACAAATTCCTTCGTAAAATCAAATAAATGGATCAGAGAACATTGAAGAGAAAATGTGGGCTTACCGCGCATGTTGCAACCGCCTCTGCCCCATAAAACGTCTCGCGTGCGAGAATTATGCTGCAAGGAGTGACTAAGATCTACTCATTGTGAGTTCTCCGTCTCCCAAATTGCGCTGAGATTCTCTTCTTCGTAGGACTCCCCCCTGATGGAGGTGAGGCACCCCGCAAATCCGAAATGTCTTCGTTGATCCCATGAACCGTGTTTGGGTCCTGCTCATCTACCTCAAACTCCTCCTCCTCCACGTCACCATCAATAAGCTCCCCAACCTCAACCTCTTCAGCTATTCCATCATTGAGATGTGATACACGTTGACGCTTCAACTTCTCCTGAAGCTGGACGCGAGATTGGCCTCTCAAGATGTACACACGCTCAACCTCCCGGTGATCTGGGTGTTGGCAGGTCCTTTTGCCTTCGAGAACAGGTTCGTTGCATTTCTTGATAGCGCAGATGTTACTCAGGTTACGGTGTGTTGCACAGTAACGATCTCGTGAGGTGGTCAATGGAGTTTGGCAGTTGTGGACAGCACAACAGTTGTGTCCCAACGTTATTCCATCCATCACGGCGACCCACACAAACATAGCCGCTGAGCCAATAGCCAAATATTAACCTCTGTTGGCGGCGTCACATCGGGGATACTCACGCTCACCGTCTTTAGCAGCATAGATACATGTACACTTCTTGCACCGGTGCGAGATTTCTTTTTGTCCGTATAGTTTAATGCGAGCATTTCGCGCTTTGATAGCCTCCGTGAACCGATCCGTTTGCTCTCCGGTGTGAGGTACTATCAAGGTACTAGTTCGTTCGCGTTGGTCTTCAAGCAGAGATAGGATCGTAAATCCGTCTTGTATGTGATCACCTTTGAGTGCAGCTTTGAATTTCCAGTCAGAAGGAAGGCCATTGCCACTGGGTCCCGCAAGTGCGACCTCATATGTACGAGCACAGTTTGTAAAAGATTTCCTATGAGGAGTATCAATCCAAATTCACAATGCTTCATGGTCGAGTCAAACTTCAAACATACCATGAGATATTAGTATCAGCGCGCCACATGTGTAAAACCTTCAGCTCAACGAATTGGTGCTCTCCAACTTGAATGATTTCTGGTATTGCATTGTCGTAGTAGTTTCGCATGCCATTCTTTACGGAATAGTTGTGGTAGTAGGCTGTCTGACACCCTAACCACATTTCCGTATGAGAACAACTCCTGAAGCATAATAAACTTTCTGCGAGACGCCGCACCTTCGCATTGGAATCTTATCACCCAGACTGGGCGAACACCGTCCAAAGTGTAGAGTACGCCTTGTGTTTGGTCTGCCTTCTGGAGCTTAAGGCCCTTCGTTGGTCAGTTACAGAGACTGTCTATGCAATAGTTAACAGGAGGGTATAAAGATCCTATTACATGATTCACTTTAGAAAATGCTGAACAAAACGGAGAAACAAGGAGAACTCACTATAACCAAGGTCTTTCCCAAACAACTTGAACCTTTCATCCACAACCTTTGCTTTCTCATCGTATCCCCACACGGTGTCCTTGAGGTATGACCATAAAGTATGCGTTGATTCCGTGTCGATTTCGCATAGATTAGACAGGAGGTGCAGAATGGATTGAGGCAGAAACATTGGTGGATCAGTAGTTGGCCAGTTTGATGCTTGGGCAAGGAGGATGTCGTTCTTGAATCGGGGTGCATAAAGCAAGAAACTCGATAATTTGATGAGCACATCCTGGTTCAGGACTTCCGGGATTGAATGCGCAAGTTTGAGGAAATCATTGATTGCCATGTTTTTGAGATGATTATTGTAATTAAGTTACTTGTAAGTTACAAGAATGTAAGCGGTTGTGAGCGAGTATGTAGTTTACGATGGTCGCGAACTATTGACGCGATGACGACACGTGATCGTGTTCGGACAGGCGGACAGGCGGATCGGCGGCAGTTCGGACTCTTGAACTACGGAACGTCCTCGACACTGTTATCTACCCTCCAACAAACCAAATGAGTTTGTTTGAGCTCGTTTAGCGTCCCTCATGCTTTCCCGGCATTGTGGACACACGGATAGTCATTGTTGTGCAAAGTCTTGCCCATGTTCACCTCCTATTGGCCCTTCCTGCAATTAGCTCACCTTCCTGTCTTTGAACTCGATGTTTCTAAAGCTTTTGTAGCCTACTGGATACTCGGAACTTCTATGCCGCCCATTTGCGCTTAAACCATAACACCACCTGCTTTTTTGCGTCAAACATCTGCATTTATGTACCTTCCAACAAACTAAACGAATTCGTTTGAATCCGTTTAGTGTCTGTCAATCTTTTCCGGCATCGCGGACACGGATAGTCTTCGTTGTGCAAAGTCATACTCATGTTCACCTCCTACTGGCCCTTCCCTCCATTTTACAGGTTAGCCTGACTTAACTGTCATTTAACGAGTACTAACTAACTTTCTTATTGTTTCTATATAGCTCTTGTAACATAAGGAATGCTCGGAACCTCTATGCCACCCAGTCGCGCGCAGACTATCCCACCACCCGCCTTTTTCGTCAAGTATGCCTGTATCTACCTTCCAACAAACTAAACAAGTTCTATTGAACTCGTTTAGTGTCCCTCAAGCTCACCCAGCTTCGCGGACAAGATAGACATTGTTGTTCAAAATATATTACCCACATCCACCTCCTACTGGCCGTTCCTGCCATTTTACAAGATAGATGGTTACGACGGTGTACTAGCGACTGTGTCTGATGAAAAATATACAGGATTTTTGAGCATTGCTCTAATAACATGGCTGAAATCAACTTATATGACTAAAGTAGTGAGAGGCGTAGTATAGTGTTTGTCATTATTGTCTTTAGAGGGTCATGCAACGAAAGTTCTTATCTTTCCACTTGACTACTATCCAGCCTAAACGTGCTTGCAGCATTGTATACTCGCTCAGTCAAACATACGAACATTTTCACATTTCACACAACTTCTATCATCTTGGCCAGTCCAAACGTGCTTGTTGTGTCGTCTGGTGGATCATATCTTTGCTCAATCAATCGGGTGTCTCATTCGAACTGTACGCACAAGGCACATCGTCTTGGCCAGTTCGAACGTGTCGCTCAATTTGTGCATAGTTCCTGCCACCGTTATATCTGTCTTTCCGTTGCCTAAATGTGTCAGGCCTCAGTTCATCTTCAATCGATCAGATAATGGATCGCTTCACCTAGTATGTTATGAGTCCTTATGAGTTTATGAGTAAGACTCATTCTTTATCAACTGAGGACTTAGGCAAATTTTTCATTCATTGATTCATTTACCTTTCATCACCGCAGGAACCTTTTCCCTTAAACAGAAAAGCAGCCATAAAATCAGGAAAAATCATAAAAGAAATCAGCAAAAAATATGTAAAAAATCGGAATATTGTTTAGTAAGGTGGGGAGGCTGTGTTCAGGGTTCAGGGTCAATATCTAAATATAGAAACCACCTAAAAGTTGCCAGAAAATCAGAAAAAAATACCCAAAAATTAAGAGTGATCTTCTCGGTTGCCATGGTGTTGAAGGGGCTGTCTCCAGTATTCAGGGTCCATATCCAAATATGGAAAATCAAGACAACTATGTAAAAATATTGTCATATCATGCAATGTGACTATATCTTGAGACCAGCTTTCTTGCTCTTTGAGATATTGGTCAAAAATGCATGACAATTTCCAAAAAGTGTCCAATTTTTTCAGTATTTTGTGTTTTTCTCAATGAGGAATGGTCTGCATGACATTATTTATATATATCTATAAAGGTAAGGAAAGGGGCTACAATTGTTGTTTATGGAGCTAAGTGAGAGGCTGTGCTTCTGATACCGTGGGAATTTTAACCCAAAAAAGGAAATTCATCACAAATATATAGAGCATGCTATTATAGGTCACAAAATATAACTAACCATCCTCTTTCCTGAGATATATGCAAACAGGACTGTGGGAATATTTTACCATAAACAGAAAAATAGTTATAAAATTGGGAAAATTTGCTATAAAAAGAAAAAAAAAAGAAAAAAAGAAAAGAATAGCACACATTGTTGCTATGATATTGATGGCTAGGCTCAGAGCTCAGGGTCTATTTGCAAATATAGAACAAAACTCAGAAAATCATAAAGTGATTACATGACCAATTTCCTAATATTAAATTTAGAGTCCACAGAAAGGACTCATACATGCCATGCAAAGCACTGGCCAACACCCACAAGTCAGGATTTTGATTGATAAGAAGACTTGGACTCACGGATATTAGCGAACATTCCCGTTTTCCGACTGCACGTACATTGGGCCGCCGCAGTGTATTCCAACAGTATTATCATACCTGGAGTAGCATTTTAGTTAAAGATGAACGCACGTATGTTCTATCCTATGCTCAACACTAATGGCCTTTCAATTGATCACTGTTACTATAGCCCGATTGATCATTCGCGAGGGCACTTGCAGTCTGTCAATGGTATAATGTTCTATTCACCGAACTGTTCAGATACTGTTAGTGCTCCACGTCCCAGTCCTGATCGCGAGTCGAACAGCCTTGTCATCGATTACCACAACGATCTGTCCTCCTTGGTCAATGATCCTCAGTGGTGGACAGCAAATTTTGGTTGGCTGTCCTTTACACCTAAAAGGCCTTTCTTTGGTGGTGGTCTACTGGGGCGACTGGCAGACATATGTATTCAGGAAATCAAGGGAAAGTATTCAATGGCTGAAGACTTGATAAATAGCTGGACAAAGCTTGAATACATAATTTGCAGTGTCATCGTGATATTGGGGGGCGTGTACGAAATACCTTCTATCGGTCCTGCCTATCCTGCAGCCAGAGGATATCAGAGGCAACATGCTTATCGATCAGTAGCACATCGGGAAGCCCGAGCTTCTCGTGATATATTTGTGCTGTGGATTGGCCTATTATCGTTCTTAATAGCAGGAGCAGATAGCTTATCGCAAAAGGGCTATGAATGGCCTTCTCTTCTCGAGAATCATTTGCAATTCCATCCTGCCATTGCTGATTTAATTCGGGCATCTGACCTTGGCACATTCTCACACGAAGTTCAGCGCATTGGAGCGTTTATCTATCTTACCAAAGATGACATCGAAAAGACTCACCAACCTTCTGTTCGCTGGCTAATCACTCACAACATTCCAATCTGGTATCATAGACCTGAAATAGATGGGGAGGACCCTACTAAACTTAAACGTAAGGGGTGCCTCAATTCACGTGGTCAGTGCAAAGCTTGTTTTCCTCGAGAAATTGTTGAAGAGACAATGGTGGATCCACTTAGTGGTGCTTTAAAAATAAAGAAAGGTGAAATGTGGTTAAATACTTTTACACCAGAACTTACATACATGATTAGATGCAATACAGATGTTACTAGCTTGATGTCAGGTACAGTAATCAAAGCTGTTGTAGGGTATATCACTGATTATGTTACAAAATCAGGATTAAGTTGATATACCACATTTGATGCTGTCCGACAAGTATTCAATAGAAATTCTGAGATGATCGGAGGTAGTACAGATAGGCAAAACACAGCTCGGCGCTTGATGACAAAAATGGTAAACACATTGACTGCAAAGATGGAAATTGGAAGCCCCATGGCTTCTCTTTATCTGCTTGGAAATCCTGACCATTATACCAGCCACAAATTCATTCTTTTCTATTGGAAAAATTATGTAAGAGAGGCACGAAGTGCATGGATAGATACAGAAAATAATACAACAGAGTCATTTAACACTGAATATAAAGATGCACCAGACAAAGTAGTTTTGCAGAAGTATGATGGCACATACATTGGAATATCAAGTGTATATGATTATATCTACCGCCCAACTGCTTATGAGCGCATGTCTCTATATGGCTGGATATGTAAAGCCAAAAAAGAGAAGCGTTCAAAAGAAGAACAGCAAGAGTTTGATGTTCATTATGATAAGGATGAACTAGAATCTAATGCAGAAGATGATGGCACAGACACAGAAGGAGAAGATGAAATTAATTTTCTTGGTGGAGGAGACAGTATAGATGATGACATAGAAGATGAAGTTGGGCATCAAGATCTAGACTCTGAGGATGAACTAAATGATTACCAAATTATGTATGATGAACATGAAAGCCATGAATTTCTTCCAGAGCATCCTCAGTATTGTACTCATAAGGTTACAGTTGTTGATGAATAAAATGCTCTTGTTCCAAATTTTGTTGGAGGTGGATTACCAAGATGTGACCAAGGAGATCGAGAGTATTATTGCTCTACAATGCTCGCACTTTTCAAACCTTGGCAATGTGGAAAGTATCTTAAATTGGAAAATGAGTCATGGGATGAAGCATTTGTTGGATATTCATTTTCAGCACGACAATTAGAACTTATGAAGAACTTCAATATAAAATACAAATGCAATGATGCTCAAGATGATTATTCTGCTGAGATGAAAAAGAAAGATGCAAGAGAAAATATATTTGGGTCATGGGAAGATATTGGTGGTGAAGTTGATACCAACTGTTCTCTCATCAATGAGGATATTCCCATAGATATTGATGAAGATATGTATATGTTAGGTAATCCTAATAGCATTAATAACCAGAAACTTCATGAAATGAACAGAATTGAAAATGTAGTAAAAAATGCTGGGTGGCTGGATTCTTGCATTGGAAATATTGACCCAGTAGACACATCTTTCAAACCAGGAGAGAAACAGTCTGGCTCTCAGTGGAATGTACTTGTACAATCACTGAAAAAACTTTTTATTGCTACTCGTTCTAAAAATTTACCTGAAGCCAAAGCAATAAAAGATAAAAATAGTACATCAAATGATGAGGTAGTTGTAGATGATATAAGTTATTTAAATAAAATTTTCAAAGCAGAGAAAGAACATGAGCATCAATTGATCAATACAATTGTTCATGAATTCAGTCTTAATGATGAACAGGAAAGAGCTTTTCGCATAGTGGCAAATCATGCTACAATGACAAAAAGTGAACAACTTAAAATGTATTTAGGAGGAATGGGTGGAACAGGAAAATCACAGGTTATTAAGGCATTAATAGCATTTTTTGACAGACGTAATGAATCACACAGAATCATGATATTGGCACCAACTGGATCTGCTGCTGCTCTATTAAATGGTTCAACTTGTGGGTGTGGGCCAGTGCTTTGCATGGCATGTATGAGTCCTTTCTGTGGACTCTAAATTTAATATTAGGAAATTGGTCATGTAATCACTTTATGATTTTCTGAGTTTTGTTCTATATTTGCAAATAGACCCTGAGCTCTGAGCCTAGCCATCAATATCATAGCAACAATGTGTGCTATTCTTTTCTTTTTTTCTTTTTTTTTTCTTTTTATAGCAAATTTTCCCAATTTTATAACTATTTTTCTGTTTATGGTAAAATATTCCCACAGTCCTGTTTGCATATATCTCAGGAAAGAGGATGGTTAGTTATATTTTGTGACCTATAATAGCATGCTCTATATATTTGTGATGAATTTCCTTTTTTGGGTTAAAATTCCCACGGTATCAGAAGCACAGCCTCTCACTTAGCTCCATAAACAACAATTGTAGCCCCTTTCCTTACCTTTATAGATATATATAAATAATGTCATGCAGACCATTCCTCATTGAGAAAAACACAAAATACTGAAAAAATTGGACACTTTTTGGAAATTGTCATGCATTTTTGACCAATATCTCAAAGAGCAAGAAAGCTGGTCTCAAGATATAGTCACATTGCATGATATGACAATATTTTTACATGGTTGTCTTGATTTCCATATTTGGATATGGACCCTGAATACTGGACACAGCCCCTTCAACACCATGGCAACAGAGAAGATCACTCTTAATTTTGGGGTATTTTTTTCTGATTTTCTGGCAACTTTTAGGTGGTTTCTATATTTAGATATTGACCCTGAACCCTGAACAAAGCCTCCCCACCTTACTAAGCAATATTCTGATTTTTACATATTTTTTGCTGATTTCTTTTACTATTTTTCCTGATTTTATGGCTGCTTTTCTGTTTAAGGGAAAATGTTCCCACGGTGATGAAAGGTAAATGAATCAATGAATGAAAAATTTGCCTAAGTCCTCAGTTGATAAAGAATGAGTCTTACTTGTAAACTCGTAAGGACTCATAACATATATTCAGCACTAGGTGTGCAAAGTAAATCAAGACAAAATAGCAATGAGCATTCAACTATGGCACAGGTTAGGTCACGACTAGATGGTGTAGACTATATATTTATTGATGAAGTTTCTATGATATCATGCTATGAATTGTATAAGATAAGTGCCCAACTGGCTAAGGCAAGGAATAGTATGGATGCACCTTTTGGCGGACTCAATATGATCTTTGCAGGTGACTTTGCACAGCTTAAACCAGTTCAAGGACAGGCTCTTTATGATGGATATGTTGGTACATCAGTAGATGCCTCCATGTCAGAGAGAGGACAGCAACCTGCTATAGGCAGAGCACTTTGGCACCAAATTACTACTGTTGTTATTCTAAGAAAAAATATGAGACAAAATACACAATCAGTGGAAGATGCCAAGTTGAGGACTGCTTTGGAAAATATGAGATATGCAGCATGTACTGCTGATGACATTACATTTCTGAGAAGTTGTGTTGCAGGAAGACGGCCTGACCAACCAAAGCTGGCTGACAAATGTTTTAGAAATGTCTCTATTATTACTGCTTTAAATTCACAGAAAGATCAAATTAATGAACTAGGTTCTGCATGTTTTGCAGCTGATACTGGCCAAACTCTAACTGACTTTTATTCTGTGGATACACTAGGGGTTGAGAGTGATCCAGTTACTGGAAAAAAGCCTCGTGGAAGACCTAAAAAGACTGCCATTCAGAAAACTATAAGTCCAGGTTTGCAAAATGTACTTTGGAACTTACGTCATTCTGCATCTGAACATATTCCTGGAAAACTTTCACTATGTATTGGAATGCCTATAATGATACGGAACAATGATGCAACTGAATTGTGTATAACAAAGGGGCAAGAGGGTTATGTTGTTGGATGGGATGCAAAGGTGGGGCCAAGTGGTCAATGGATTTTGGAAACTTTATTTGTAAAACTTGATCACCCTGCCAAAACCATAAAGATTGAGGGGCTACCTGAAAATGTTGTCCCACTAATAAAGAATAGTACATCTATTGAGTGTCTCTGTCCAAGTGATCTTACCATATCTATATCACGTTCTCAGGTTTCTGTGTTACCCAATTTTGCAATGACAGACTATGCATCACAAGGAAAGACTCGACCATTTAATGTTGTAGACTGAA